TTTATGTTCCTGTAATTCATTTTTATTTATGTGCAATGTGTATGAAATGAAATTTGATAACATGCAAAAAAAATTCTAAGAAGATATTTTATATAGTTTATTTCATTACTTTCGTTGATTTCTTAGGTCCGTAACCAATATTCCATATATACAATGTATTTTTTACACGATTTTTTTACACGTAATTTCCGGGAACCAATCTATCGTGTAAAAACAGAATTGGGTGTGTATATATATATATATATATTGATATTTAAGTGTAAATAAAAGATATATATACATACTGTATATCTTTTCTTTACACTTTAAATTTCTCCGTAGTCTATCTATGGAGATTTCAGCGTAAATATTACTAGAGACGGTGAGATAGCAGTCCGCCATGAATCGAGGTCAAAATACAAGATGTCCGTTCAGTGAGGTCATCGCTTAGACACTGCAGTGCAACTTTAATAATAGATCTCGTAAACTGGTATTTTGCGTTCAATGATAATGTTGCAATTATAAACAAAATTTTGAATAATTTATTTATTTAAGCAGTTTCAGAGGTCGTTTTTATCATTGTACGTTTTCGTTATGAGTCTATTAGAATAGTGAGTAAAAGTGTATTTTGCATATTCAATATGAGTCTATGCTATTTTGCTTTTTAAAAAAATTTGTCCATCTGTACGTTTTAAGATCATATTGGATTCTTGGGCAAATTCGTGGCGATGCAACACAAAGGAATGAAGAATGGCATCAATATTCTTTACTCTAAGGAAGATATTTGTAGACTCTGTACTAAGACTAGTGAAATTAGTGTTATCAGTTGTAAGCTTCTGCAGGAAGCTTAGGTCTACAACTGATACAAAGATTTACGGACTTCTTACAGAAAAGTTCAACAAAATGAATCTAAACGATCAAAATTAGAAACAAAGTAGCAAAAAGTAGCATAAGATTTATTCCGAAGGGTTCTAGACTCAAATCCGGTAAAAATATGTTATCAGGAGTCTCTGAGCAGAAAAAAAATAACAATTGCTATCAAAACCAATTTCTAGTTATTCGTTTATAATAACACAAATTTCGATTTTAATCTAATATTAAAAACTAATGATGCAATTCGAATATTCGGTTACTATTCGGTATTCGGCTTATTCGGCCTATGTTCGCTATTCGGCCGAATAGCGAATACCTAAAAAAGGAGTAAGAAATAACAAAAACACAGTAAATTAATCATTTTGGTAACTTTTATTAATGCTGAACATACATTTCAAGTTCGAGAAAGCGCAATTTTTTGCTTATTTATGTAAAAGATCAAAGGAAAAGTAATATAACTAAGTTATTTTTTTAAGAGATCAAAAAAAGGTAACTAATCAAATGAAAACTACCCACTTATTATGTAGTTTAGTCATCTATATACTCGTATAGGCTATAAAAGAACAAATCCTGATAGGATAATTAACGCAGAGCCAAAACTACTGGTGCTAGAAACTTAAAAATTTGAGGGTGTATTCCTTTTGTAAAATTTATGCGTGTTAAGAAAAGATTTTACGAAATTCAACTCTAAAGGAGTGAAAAGGATAAAAAATTTGTATGAAAATTTTTACTGCGTAGGCACATTAGATCGAAACTTAGGTCATAAAATGGGGAAAAAAATAATTAATGATCTGTAAAGCGTTTTTATGAAATCATCCCTTATTATAAACTTGAAAATTAAATTAACTTTTTTGTTTCATTGTAAAAAGTTATTCATCATAACTGAAGTTCCAGACAGCTTGGTAGCCTAAACGGCCCCAGACTTTCGCCCGTGCACGCTGAGTGAGTTTCATTACAAGCGTTTGGCTTTCCGAAATCTATGAGAACAATTATTTGGCATTGGCGCCAATAAGCTGCCTCGACTTGTTTGATTATGTTATCAACTCAATTTCATATTTATTTTCACATTTTCACTTTGTGATCCTTCTCTGTTCTTTTTCCGTTATTTACACGTGTAGGTCATTTCATTGTTATCACATTTGATATCATCATTTATCACATACTGCCATGACGCTCATGTCTGTCCGCTACAACTATCAAGAATTAACGCGACTGGCGAAGCGTAGTGACAGCGGGCCAATAGAGAACAGAGTGCGCGATCTTTGCCATAACGCGGTTTGCGCGCCAATTTTAGTACATGCGTTAATCAAGCCTAATAGTTTAGCTGAATATTCGGTATTCGGCCTGAGGCCGAATATACTATTCGTTGCATCACTATTAATTAAAAACATTTAAGATAACTGGATGTTGGCGAGATTAAATGGATTAAAAGTGGCTTGTGTATTTGGAGAATTTGACAATGCTTTGATTAACAAATAAAAGTCCTTTTTCGTTTTAATGTGTGATTTAGAGGCTTCACTAGTCTCTCATTTCTATTCAATTAACAGCTTATTAGCGATAACCATAAATTTTGTGGTATTTTCTGGTTATAGTTACATATTGTGAATATTTTATTCGTAATTTCTATTAGTTAAAAATGAAAATAAGTTAAATTTTTAGATTACTTATAAATGAACGATTGTTTTCCATACGCATCGTCAGCCTTTTCGCTTGATCCGAAGAGTAAAATAGCACGTTTATTATTTCTTTATGGTACTGTCAACGTTGTTGAACTCGTTATAAATTAAATAAAATAATAGTAATGAGTGTGGTTTAAAATATAGTTTGGTTTTGTTATGGCAACGCAACAAAATTCAGCGGTCTGCCTAGGGAGATCTTTCTAAGGAAAACTAGCCCCTATTTAGGCGTTACAGACGCAGACTCCACGTGGCCAGCCCATCTGAGCGAGGCGCGAACCCACGACCGAACTCCCAGTGTTCAGGGAACGAAGACCGCTTGGCCACTTATGGGCCTAAATCAGAGTTAAAAAACATTTATTTGTGAAATGGTGTTGAATTACAAACTTTACATCTTATATTAAAAAATTAAGAAACAAATAAATATTATTAATAAAAAGAATTCAATTTTGTGGGCCCTTGGCACTTAGGGCCCACAGCTTAAGCTCTATTAGTTCCTATGTAAATCCGTCCCAGGATACATGATAAAATCCGGAAAACTCTACCTGGTCAACCCGTTGGTCGGGGACAAACCTCAAGGACTATATACTAGTTTAAAGTCCTTGGACAAACCTGCTACCAGTGTGCAGTAATTTTATCCACTCGGGCACTGGTGACCCGTTTCTTTTTATTTTTTATACTATAAATTATTATTTTACATATAAATTGACTAATTATTGAATATAAAATAGAACGATATTTGAAAATCGTCCTAAACGAATTTTCAATATTCGAATGTTCCAAAAATAGAAAAAATAAGTTAATGTAAGAGTAGACCTGAATTTGATCTATAAAGCAGTTCGAAAACATTTGTCCAATTATTAAATTTGTGCTGAAAAGTGGAAAGGTTGTTTGCATGATATTGTTTGATTATTTTTCTAATTTGAATTTCTTTTTTTTTATATGAGTATTTTTTAGACTTTTTACTAATCATATACTGTATGCAGTATAACAAATTAAGATTTTTTTTAACGAGTTAACGGGATGCCAGTTGTAACTTTAATTTGATGCGACAAAACCATCGTCCGCGAGGCCGGATGGCCCTAAGCGTCAAGGTGGCAGCCCACCTTGACAGGTCAAATAATCCCCAGGAATTTTTCGGGGAGGTGGTCTGTTCGGATACGTCGGGCCCCGTCCCTCACCACCCGGTCGCTCCATTGTGGGCCTGGCCGAATCCATAATGAGCCTACTATAAGAGGTCCTCTTAGTGCTCACAGGTCGGAAAGAGTATTAAAAAAAAAACATCGTCCGCGTCGCTCTGCGACTGTACCAGCTTCGAGTAGTCCATTTTGACTGTTTATGGAGTACAGTACTTGATGTTAAAACGTTTTAGGGGATGTGGGGACTAGCCAAGTTTTTAAGTTTAGAAATTCAAAGTGGGCACCTTTGTAGCTTGACAGATGTCAAAAAGAAACAATTTTCCAAGTGTTTTCCAGAATCTGAGACGTTGTTACAGAAACTTCTGTAAATCGTTCAAATCCGGAATTTTTCTATGATACATACAGTTTTTAATAAAGTTTCATAAAAAAATTCCAATGGTGTTACGTCTGTAGATCTAATTAGCCAGGCAGTTGGGCCTCCTCCGTCAATCTAACGTTCAGGAAAGTCTCTATCATCAAACTTCCATCGAAATGAAAGTGTGATGGAGCGTCATCTTGCCGAAATGTAAAAGTTAATGAAATTTTTGAAATAGTAAAGATCTGCAACATGTTAAGGTAAGTATGTCCTATCACTATGAGGTCTATTTAAAAAATGGCCAGATGATACCATTTTTGCGCATTCTTAACCGCTACATTGACTTTTAGTGGTTTTCTTTCATTTTCGATCAAAGATAAATAGATTTTGTTAGCTAGAATTCTCAGTATTCCAAATAAAAGTCAATTGTGTCTGTTAATTTTCCCACATAAATAAAAGATTAATTCATCATTTACGAACAACAGCTTAAGATAATTGGGATTGTCCGATCATCTCGGCAACAAAATCAGCACAGATTTCCTATCGGCCGCGATTAGTTTGCAAAAATACAATTAGTGGTCCTTTTTCCTTTTTAACTTTTTTCGCCCTGTGGAGGTACTAAGAAGGCCTCTTTTAGCAAGCCCATTATAAATTCGGCCATGCTCACAATGGGGCAACCGGGTGATGAGAGACGGGGCCCGGCGTATCCGGAGGTACCACCCTCGAAAAATTCCTGGGCATTATTTGACCCGTCCGGATTCCATCCCGTCTCCCAGAGCGGTAGGTTCCCACCTTGACCTCCCAGCCATGGTCAGAGTCGGTAGATTAACTGGTCTTTCGACTAATAGTTCAAACTTAGCTAGAGACAATATTTGCCGCTAGTCGGCGCCACTGTTAGCAGGAGATCGTTGTTCTTGCTAGGTATATACTGAAGTCAGTGANTTTCATTTAATATCATTTTCGAAATATAATAATCTCGACCTCGGAACAAAACTGCCGATAGGTGACATTTTCGGTACGAACTCAAAATTGTTTTTCTTGTGTTAATAAACATAGCGATTGGAATATGTTTTCGACATCACCTTTAACTAATTCAATGTTAAGAAATTGCAACTAAAAACAATCAGCTGGATAGAAAAATGAAACGGTGGAAACAATATTTTCATCGCGATTATATCTTTATTACGTGCTTTGTTAATAAAAACAATAATGATTTTTAATGGTAAGATCCTAAGATTCACATGTTTTGCTACAATATAAAATTGTCATATAAATTAAACACGTGTTTAATCACGTGTAAATATGTTAGTTTCAGAATATGTTCATGTATATATTGATAACTAGGGCATTGCTTTTATCTCAATCAAACAGATGAAATCAAACAATCTCAAGTTTTAAGTAAATTAAACATTATTGATTTAAATGTAAATAATATCAAATAGCTTTATTTTGATTTTTTAAAATTGTTGCATATGTTTTTAATTGTCCTTCAACAAGATCACTACTGACATACAGTGTAATTCATTAAATCTTTAAATAGAGCAGCAAGAATGGGTTTGCATTTGGTTTGCCTATTAACCAAATGCAAACCCATTCTTGCTTAATTGATTAATTGAGAGAATGAAATGCAACTTATATACAATAATAAATTATAAGTTAATTAAAACATATTTAGATATATCCATTTTGTAATAAATAACATTTGTAATTAAGTATAAGTGGATAAGCATATTTAAAAACTTTAATAATTTATTGTTGAGATATATTTATAAATTTAGAAGTTCCATATTTGAACATTCTTTGTTTTTGCATTTTGCATGCTTTGATATTTGCAGCTATTTTCTGCACTTGTAAAGCTTAAATTCATTTATTTGCAGGACTAACAAAAGTAATGAAACAATGGCTAAACAGATAATTATTTGATTTTTAATGTTTTTATCTTAAACTTATTCTGCTGCTAATTTTGTTGCTAATCATTTGATTGCATTAGTAAATAATATCTTGGTAGTTTCTTGAATTATTTTAGATAGGAATCTATGCAGCGAGTAAGGTTGTTTTATATTATTGATAGTATGCATTGAAATGTCAGCATTATGCTTTATGAAAAGTTTTTTTTATCCTAATAAATCAACAATGTCATCTAAATAAAAAGAACTCTAGTGAAAAAGTATTAGAAAGGCCAAGGAAAGTGAAGATCATTTATAAAAAAGTGCTAGATCATTTAGTTCATAGGGAGGGAAATTCAGTAGATATTGTTTATTCTTTCATTATCAATGAATCTATTGTGAGATACATACGAACAGAGAGAAAAAGTTTTAAAATACAGTAGCAAATTATTTTTAAGTGAAAATGTGTTTTTATTTTATAATCATACATTTTTTTTCCCTTAATTCTTTAGCCTTATTTTGATTTCTTTTTTCCTAACTTTATTCAATGTATTTCTCATTTCTATATTTGTAGTTTCTATATTCACATCAGTTTTAGAGAACATAGTGTTTGTAAATATGGAACTTATGTTATAAATTCAAGTGATTATGAAGTTAATGTATGATTTAAATATACAATACATAAACAATATATTAATTTCATTATCATTTTTATTTATCTAAAGTAAATAATTGTAATAAAGATTACTATAATAAAGTGAAATAATTTCTCAGTATATCATGTTGAAAAATTCTAATGATAAAATTTAAATAATGAATACAAAATAAACTATTCAGAGAACTAACCCAGCTGTTATCTCAGTTATTAGTAATAACTTATTACTGTTTATTTGAAATTCAAATTATGATTATCTATAGCATGTTCTATTTTGAAAATTAATAATATATTTGAAAAAAAAAAAACAGATTTTTTAAGTTTTTTAGTTATTTGATGTTGCTGAAACTTAAAAAAATTTCATGCAGGTGAATTAGTTTTTTGTAGTGAGAAAATTGTTCTCCATTATATGTTTGTTATAAAAATGCCACATAAAGATAAATTTAAGAATTGTAATATATACAGAAGTTAAGTGGAAAAATGGTATAAATAATAAAAATACTGCAAACATGTATTTTTGCCATAATTTCTTTATTTGCCATTTTTCATTTATATTATTAAATACTTAAATAACTGGTATTTTTTCTTAGAAAATCAAAAATTAGTTTACTTTATAATCATAATCATACTTATAAAAATGATGTAATTAGTTAATCTTATTTTTCCTTACAATAAGTATAGAAGCTTTACTTATTTTATATGATTTATCTTTTTAATAAAATTTTGTAGATTATTAAAAATTATTCTGCATTTTTACTATAATGTAAAAATTTTCTTATACAATTTCATTTATCAGTTTTAATTTCTTTTCTTTATATAGTGGTGAATTTGATGCAATATGTAAACTAAATGGAGTATTCTACAATTGAAAGTATGGAACTGTCAAGGTCACAACTTGAAACATATTCTGAAAAACCCTCTTTACCCCAGTATTCGACTGGTAGTTTAGCTCTTGGTCAGGAGTACAGCCATCTTCATAGTATTCTTGCAGATGGTGGAAATCAGTTTGGTGTATCATCACTTACATTTGATTTACAAGAAGATCTTCTTTGGATGGGAAATCAAGGAGTAATTATATTTTTGTTTTTTTATTTGTATAAAATTTATTTTATTTTAATTTGTTCAATGTTAATTTTTTTTCATTGTGTTAGAAATGCATTATTTAAAAATTTCTCTGTAGTTAGTCTTTAATATTTTAGAAAATAGCTATGAGCTATGCTAAATCATATTATTGAATACTAATACTAATGCTAACTATACTAATGCATATTAAACTATACTATTACACATAAATGCATGCATATGTATACTTAAACATAAATATATATATATTTATACTGTACTAATTTAATGAAGCTAGTGGTGCAGAATATATCTAATTTCACAAACAAGGTTTAGGGGAAATTAAAGCAGACTCAAGGAAATTTTCAGTAGAAAATTAATATTATGGCAATAGCTGCTAAAATGTTGTTGTAAAATGGAGCAGAGTCTTGGCTAAGTCTGTACACAATAATTGGGAATATCAAATGCAGGAAAGCATGTGTTTTAAAAGTGAATTGAAAGTTGCTTGCTTTGTTTTTAATCAGTTCAGTCACTTGTTACATTGCTGTCTACTTACATAGTTATGTACTTGCAGTAAGGAAAGTCAGTCTCCTTATTGAGCAGCAGTTTTGATTTTTACAAGAAACCAAAATAGTGTGTCTTGATTAAATAGCTAAATAGAAGTTATCATCATTTTGTAAATATTATTTTCCTTTATTTATCATCATTTTATATTTCATAAAGAAACCAAAATAGTGTGTCTTGATTAAATAGCTAAATAGTATTTATCATCATTTTGTAAATATTGGTAAAATATATATAAATATAAATATGATTAAGTCTTACCAGGTACGAGTTATACGTTATGAACTATGATTTACAAGTTATTTCCAACTTAAAAAAGGAAATGTCTTGGAACAACATATTAATAGTTTATCAATGTTAATATTTTTATGTCAGAAGCAGTTAACAAATCATATCAAAGAAAAGCAGTTCTTTGAAACAATTGTTTTAAAGAACTTTTATATCTTTTTGTTTTAATTTATTCAATGTATAACATAATGTATCTTTAATTTTATGTAATTGTCATCTTTGTTTTTGTATATCTTTGTTAATTTTGAGGTAGATATCAACTGTCCTTTAAGGCTGTGTACACACTAGGTGTTTTTAAACGCGCGTTAAACGCTTGTCGAACACCGAGCTAACGCGCGTTAGCGTTTAGCAGAGCGTGCACACTNTTTTTATATATATTTAATATTTGATATATTAATTTATGTTTAGTGTTTGACAGCAAATTATCCAGTAGGCCTATTTATTTGAATGATTGAATTTTCCAAACTATAATAATTATTAATTCATTTATAAATTGTTTTATCTTGTCTGCTAGTGTTTAATAATTTTTGTGGAAAATTTTTGATCCTGAAAATGTTCTGCACCTCTGAATTCAACTAACAATAACTATTTTATTTTGTTATTCTAAATCCAATTTTTGGAAATCATCCAATCTTTGAAAATAGATAAAAATTGAAATTATAAACACATAGATCAAAGTAATTTTAAGCATAAAAAGTACTATTATTTCAAATGTATAAATGTAAATTGTTCAAAACCTTATTTTCTGCTGGGTATATTATCAAGTATTGTAATTGTAAGAAATTTTCGTGTCGATTAATACTACTTAATTTCTTTTTAAATAAGAGAAGCTTGTTTGCCTCACTTGATGCCTCCTCTTTTACAGAATATAATAATAAAGCAGCGCTGCATTGATTCTTCTTTTAATAGAACAGTTACATTTCCAATTAGAAGCAATGTTATTTAACCTCTGTAATAGAACGTTAAAAAAAATTTAATAAGTTTAAAATCAATTTTTTTTAGTTTTACTACATTGTTACTAACTGGTTAACAAATTAATAAACAATATATAGGTGGAAACTATTTTTATATTGTTTACATGTAGATAGAAACTATGTTTTTGAGAATTCAGTAACAGGAAATCTTTTTAGATCTTGAAATTTATCTTCAACCATAACTTGAAAATGTTTTTTGGATTAACAGCAGAACTTAATTTTCCAGAAAGATGGAGCTTTGGCCCATTTTGGGTAATATAACAATGACTAAATTGGAAATTCAGCAATAACTGGTTCAGACATGCAGAGACAGTTACATGACCTCTGAGATCTCCAGACATTTTTCAGACTTTGACCCTTTTATGGGACAATTAAAATACCTCATATATGCTGAAATCTCTCAAAACTTAGACAAGTTAAAAGTTAAAATTACATTTGCAATCACGTAAATTCTCCAAAATGTTAATCAACAGTAGGCAAAGTTTCTCCCAGTGAATTGAACAATGCATTGCATGTGATAGAAGCCTGACTAAGTAGCTAAATTTTTTTAAATAACATTATTTCTTCCTTTCATTTTAAATAAATTTCAGTTTCTTTTACTTAAATATTAGTGTTTCAAGTAAAAACACACATATGTCAGTTTAACTGAAATTGATATAATTTGTATTATTTTGTGTAATTTTGTTAATTTACATAAATTATTTTTGTGAAAATTAAAGTCTTTTGTCTTTGGTTTGCAAAAATATTAAGAAAAATGTTATAAAGTAGTAATTAAAATAGATCATTAAATTTCAATATGCAAAATGTTTGATTGAGAAAAAGAACAATTTTTACCTGACATTGCTAATGTTGAGCGTCAGTGAACATTTGTTTATTTCATTACGTTTTATACTGTTTATGCATTTTATTATATTTATTTCAAAATTTCTTGTATGTTTCTGTTCTACTTATGGTATCTACCAATTGTAAAGTGATAAAGGTTAAAACCTTTTATCACTTTATGATTGAGTTTTATTGGATGTCTGAAGAGGGGAGGTGTTATGGAAACTTGGACTAACTAGGATAAGAGGAGAAGAAGGAGTAAAAATTTCAAGAAAAATGACATAATTTATGGACAGTCTCTTAGGACCATGTTCCTACTCACCCAAAAGACTTCTATTTTACAGGAATAGTGTTGATGCCAAAACAATGGAAGAAATGTCAGCATGTGGAGGGGAACCCTAGAGAAAGAAACATGAATTGGTGGCATATAGAGTTCCACTGCCATTACTAAAATTCTAAATAAAGGTTGAATTGTCCTTGTATATACAGTATTGATAAATATCAAACCAATTTTCAAATAATAAAAAAATTGATAAAAAAATTGGTTAACTGATTTAAGTTTAAAATCTGTTCATGTAACCTAACAGATACCTGTCATTCTCAGCCAGAATTTTTGCAAATTATGGGTTTCTATGAACTATAAAATGTATTCTTCATTTTCTTACAGATGCTATTTTTGAGTCAATTTGTGCAACCAGACCTATTTATTTATAACTAGCTAAGAATAGCTATCCAGCAATTGAGTTGTATCATTAGATCCAATGTTGTCAAGCTCCATATCCTTAAGAATTATAGTGGTGATTGGATATATATATGTATATATGTATGTATATATATATATATATATACAGTAGAGCCTCGATTATTCGACTCAATTGGGGACTGGGGTTGGTCGGATAATTGAAAAGTCGGGTAAGCGAAAAGTATGAAAAAATCCATTATTAGTGTAGTATATTATTATATCCCATGTAATTAGTATATTAATATATCGCTATTAACCTACTTCATGTTGAATTTTCATCGATGTTAAGCCTAACAAAAATTTTTTAAAATAATAATTGTCGCTATTGTATTGTTAAAAATTAGAAAATTAAGCCTCGTTTAAATACTGGCTCCCTTTCGTGGTCGAATACGTGTTGCCAGCTAAAACACGTAAAAATAATATTAAAGTAGCCAAGACATAGCCAAATATTGTAGCGCCACATCACTAGCGGACATTTGAAATTTGCCGACTAGGACGGTCGGTTAACCGAGGTGTCGGTTAATCGGGGTTCGGATAATTGAGGCTCTACTGTATATATAATTTGTTTTAAAAATTTCTATAAATTTTAAAACAAAATATTAATATATCCAAATTACGCGTTGTCACATGTCCAATGATATTGTGCTAAGTAGGGTTTCTCAAACGGGATCCCGGTTGTTTTTAACCCAGGAAATATCCCGGGAAATTTTTCTTATCCCAGGAAATCTCGCAAATTTTTTAAAAATTCACTTTTCTCTTATTTTGTGTAAAGGTTGAGAAAATTTTGCAAATAGAAAGTATAATTAACTCATAAAATGTCAGAATACATTTGTATTTATTAATTTTAAATCTACTTATTAGTTTTTTTAATTTTTGCTTGTTATGGCATTTCACAAATGGTCAATAATCAATACATAGCTTATTTGTGTCAGGACTCTCAATATTCTTTACCTGTAAAATCTGGAATAATTGTGCATACACTGTCTTAATTTTTAACCATGCTCAGTAGCTTCAATAACTGCATAATGCCAAGTTGTGCAAATTGGGCAAGGATACAAACGAGTACAAAGTCTGCAAGCATGAAGTTTTTCTTCATAACCTGATTATTAAAGACAAACAAACTGCCAAATTATTGGGCTATGATGTTTCTATTGAAGCAGTCGAGGTAGACAAATCAAGAATACTAGAGTGCAAAAGAAGTACTACAATGTCAAAAACAAAGTAGAAATCTTTCAGGATACAGGTGAAAAAACACATAACATCTGTCTTCTCTTAAATGCATTAAACACGATTCCAATCACATCAATTGAATTGGAAAAGTCATTCTCAGTAGCAAGACTTTTCATTATTAAAATAAGAAGTAGATTGAGTGATTGGAGTATTGACCATCTTTGCTTTTTAAAATCTTATTATAAAAATTTACAATAATATTTTGTGTTATGTTTTATTTAAAAAACAAAAAATAATTATATCATTTGATTTCATGATATAATTATTTTGGGATATAATTTTGTCCCAGGATTTTCCGGGATACCGGGAACAGTTCACTTGTATCCCGGAATCCCAGGAAATGAGAAACCCTAGTGCCAAGATTTTTCTTGGTAGAGAGAACAGGGTTTATGATTTTTTAGAGTTTTTGTAGATTATAAAGAATATTAGAAAATTTCCAAACTTTTAGGTATTCAAATCAATATTCATCATACAGTTATAAATCAAGACTCTACTATATTTTAAAAAAATTTTAGTTTATTTTGGCATCTTTTAATCTTTAATAGTAAATCATTAAATAGTAAATAGCAAATCAGAAGCATACAGTAATGTGCATTGGTACAAAATATTTAGCAGTCTGTAACATTCAGATTGCATATAACATGAACTTTTTTGAAAGTATAAAAACATTCAATAATCTGGTACAGGTATACCTCGCCTTACGTCGGTAATTGGTTCCAGGAAAACGACTTAAGTCGAATTTACTTGTCTCCGAATCTACTTGTCACTGGACTAAACCATAAATTACTATTCCCAGTTCTGTATTTTATTTATTAATGCATTTTTAATAATATATGGTTAATAAGAATCTATTTTAAGCTTACAAACAAATAAATTTTAGTTTTTAATAGAGTACAGAAAAAAGTAATCTAAATTTACGAATGCATGTACTGTACTGTAAATACAGTACATACTTGTAAATGTATATATTTTAATATCATTTTATGTGCTTTAAATGCTTTTCTAGTGATATTACGACTTCAATATTTGTGGAGGACGGACGTAAAGTCGAATAAAATGACTTAAACTTGATTTTTATTTTTCCGTATACTTTTTTGACAAACGACGTATAATCGGGAACGACGTAACTCGAAACGACGTAAGTCGAGGTATAACTGTATTTTCTAAAGTCCAGCATCAACAAATTTACTGTACATGAAATATTTGGTTTGCAAACTGTAACTTTTTAAAAGTTACAGTTTGCAAATTAAACAGCTAGAGTTTTAGGGCTATTCTTAGGCATAGTTAAATTAAATTAAATTTATTAATATAATATCATTAACTATGGTCTAAAAATAGACTATAGCTGTTTGTTTATTTATTAGGCTGTCATTTCTATTTGTTATATATATATATATTAATGTTTTCTTTGAAAAATTAAGAGTAAAGAAAAAATAGCTCAGTTTTTACGATTTTAAATTGTAAATTGTAAATCTAAAAGTTTCATAAAGCAATAAATTTATTCTCTTTGAAAAAGTATAGTATATTAACTGTTGTTTTAATTTTACAAATAGGGGCATATAACATCTTATTATGGATCAGCACTGCAAAAATATACATCATTTCAAGTTCATACAACTAACGAAATACGTGAAATGATAACAGTTGATACTGGTATTTTATCTCTAACATGTAATTATATGAGATTGTCATCAAGAAGAGGTTTAGCAATTTTTGGACATAGGTAATAATAATTTTTAATTAATTAATTAATAATTAATAATAATAATAATAATAATAATAATAATAATAATAACTGTCTTGCCAGTCATCACATTACTGTGGTGAGAGAGCTTGATAATTCTGATGAACGACAGAGCTTTGTTGGATGAAGCATCTGTTCCTGGTAGAGTTGCCCATGTCGGTGAGGTCTGTGGGGAAGGAATGAAGCCAAGAGTGGCTGAACTCACATCTGTGGAATTTATCGGGATAACAAGATCCAAGTATAATACTAACTCAGATGTCATCTGGGTTAACAAGGTCCTTGTAACAATCACACTCATGAGTTAGGTTGAGGCTTACATTTGAAACATATGTCACAGTCTTCTTTGGTTACCAATGATGAAAGCATTGGTCCAAGTATGGCTACTGTAATATCCACATCAGTTGTGGGAAATCAGCCTAACTTTGATATTTCTGAGACAATCTAGCCACAGACCACTAAGGCAAGTAAATCACACCAATAGATGAAATGAACAAGTTTATCATCTGTACTTGTTACATCATCACAAAACTCAAAAAGACATAACAGCATACAGAGGGTGATTTGCTAATTGTGACTCACTTTTTCACTTAGTTTCTTTCACGAAGCACCTGTTGATGAATTGTCTTTTTCTGCTTGATGTGTTCTCCATCTTGTTGACTCAAAGCATGACATTGCCGTTTCCATGATTTGAAGACCTGCTTGTAAGTTTCGATTGATACTGATGACCATTCCTGTTAAATTACTTTCCAAACTCCATCTAATGTTGTACCCGTACAAAAAAAGAGACATTGCTTCGGGAAGCCAAATCCATGGGGCTGATGTCAAGTGCTTTTTTGGTGGGTATGTCCTCTGCAGGAATGTGGTTCATTTCACTGTCAGCCTTCAACTTCTGGAGATAAGCAGTTGTATATATATCTGTGACTAGACACTTTGTCATGGTGAAGAGTCACTTTGGCTTCTTCTCCAGGATACAGCTTTGGAATCTCACATTCTAAATATGGTTTAAAAATGTTCTCTACATAGTAATTAGTGTTAACTTTTCCAGTTTTTGACACTCTGAAAAGATAAAGTGTTCCCTGGCCCATCATTCCTCCAACAATCATAAATTCTTCAGGCCATCTTTCATGACATTTGACAAGACATTCTTCTGGCACTTCCTGTCTGCATGTACAGAATTTTTTGAGTTTCATTGCAATCAAAGTATATATACACTTCATCTAGGGTGGCCATGTACTGACTTTTTCCTCCAGCCAGATGCTTCTCATAGAGCTTCCTTACATTAGTCTTTCAGTTCTGTTTGTGCACAGATGCATTTTTTCTTTGTAGCTGCTTGTAGATCTTCATGTATAATGGTGTTAACTGTGAACTGAGATATATCCAGATGTTTTGTTTTGCTTTGGTCCTCTGGCTAGGTGGATATTTTTTTTTTAATCATTTCCTTAACTTTCCTTATCTTATCCTTACTGCAAGATTTGCGAGCCCTTGGGAATATTGGGTGTAACTCACCAGAAGATAGAAACTCTTTTGTATCCATTTTACTGATCGTTTTTCATCTACTTGTATCATTTCTAAGTCTTCTCCTCTTTACTCATTGAGTATATTTAATGACACTTAAAAGAATCGAGTTAATGAGTTATTCAATGTGATGAACACTTGCTTGTCGCTTTTTCATTTTTTTACCAAGAACTCTGATAAATGTAGACTGGAAAACTTTAATTTCATTCTTCTTAAGGGATTTTTTGACAGTGAGGGATGAAAGATCTTCTTCGTAAAGAAGTTTGATGTGCATGTCAACTTCGCTAGCAACTGCTGCCTCCATTTTTAGAAAAATCAAACTCAAACATTCTTAGAATGCAAAGAAAAGTGACATCTACCAGTTTTCAAAATTTGATTTATATTCAACAAGTAGAACAAAAGATATATGATCATGAATTTTGAGTCATAATTAGCAAATCACCCTCTGTACAGACAACAGTTACATCACATGTTTTCATAACAATATTCTCATCTCACAGTCACTGTACAAAGGGTTGTTGATCAAAAAATAACAATTATACATAACAACCTTATTCCACAAACAGCATTAGAACATATCAAACAACAAATTGCAGAACAATTACATCAACATACAAATTTTTCCAACATCAACAACAATCACATAATCCTTTAAGATCATCAAGATGCATGCACTGACAATATCATTGTTACCACCATTATTATCTCTGATGCTGACAATATCAACATTTCTTCATTTCCAGAAATAGATTCAGGTTTAATTCATACTCTCTCTCTCTTCTTTTACAGAAAGAACTCATTAAATATGCAGGCACTGACTCTGTACAAAAGCCATGCATTCCCAAAATTAACACTTCTAAACTAGTAGGAAAAACATTACATTATGTGAACACTTACATATTACTAGATTGCACTCTTTCTATTTCTAGACTCTCAGACATTTATACATTAGTCTAAGAAGGTGCAGTCACAGTAGTGACCTACCATGGACTAAAACTGCATCCACAGACAGAAACACAAATCAAAAACACTTCAGAAGTCTGCCTGGCAAAGAAGAATAGAAACACAAATAAACAATATTAAACAGCAACTAAGCAGGCTGATACAATATGCTCAGTAACAACACACGATTAAACTTACACACTGGTCATCTGGACATAGTTTAACACATAAATAACATAGACACCATTAAGCAGTCATGGGCACTAAACAAATAAATGTATATACTATAGTATAGTTTAATACATTTCTTTTAAAATATTTAATAATTGAAAATTAATACATGAATGTGATTTTATTGATATTAAGCTATTCGTTAAATGTGATAATTATTTTTAGTTCTGAACATATGCAAGATATGCAATGTATGGTCTTGATGCCATCTGGAAATCTTTTGGTTGGAGGGCATCAGCCATTTATGGTAGAATTTGATCTAAATCTAATGGAAGAAACTGGAACAATTGAAGTGGGAAATAATGGTTGTGTTATTATGCGACGTCATCCACGCTTTTTATGTTGTGGTGATACAAGTGGAAAGGTAACTATAATTTATTCATTAATTTATTGTTTAATGACGATTTGAAGAATATTTTGAAATATAAAAATTGCTTTAAAATTTTATTTTGTAGACCATATGTGTATATATTATTACACACACACACTATTCCTGTGACAATAGTTTCAGACTATCTGTTAAAAAGCCATGCTGTTTCAGGGTGTATAGACTCATCACAATGAGACAATAATGTCCCAGTGATGAGTCTACAATAGATAATGCATACCCTTCATTAGCATCTTATCCTCATCATGCTTCTCTTCATTTTTACTAAGAAAGAACTTTAGTAACAAATTCATTTTTAGCATTTCAGACCTCATCACAAAATAGCAATTATACTTAGTAAGAAATATTTCCTTGAAAATAAACTCCAGTTGGTTGAAAGATACAAAAATCCTGTGAAAAATAAACATTTTCCATGATTCCTCCTAACTACTATATTCTATTCTAATAAAAGACAAGAGGGGCTATCTGCAATTTAGTGCAAACTTTACCCCGGTATGAATAGGAAGGAAGAGTAAAAGAAAGTAAGAGTTAGAGAGCAGAGGAAATAAAGGAAGATAGGAAAGTGTGAAATAAGCAACCATAAGGCCCCCACAGGACCCCATGGGCGCCCGCATCGCCTTTATTAAAACAATATTTACAGAGGAATACAAATAGTTAACAGTAACATTTTTACATACAGATGCAATTAACAGAAGNAAAAATAAACATTTTCCATGATTCCTCCTAACTACTATATCAAAAATCCCACAAGGTGACAGCATTGATTCTAGTAACTGGTCACATGCTAATGAGAACAGGTTCCTTAAGGATTTCTTGTTGCTGCGGCAGTGAAATTGCATTATGTCGTCACCTGTAACTGACCTCACTATATAGTCTGCAGACAATACATAAAATTTTGAAATGAATAATTTGAAGAGCACTTCATGGATTATCTATAAGGGTAGCCTGTTGCTGCAGGATATCTAGATTTAAATTTGTATTTGTTAAGTTTGATATACAATTAAACAAAATTGTAACACGTGTTAGGTGTGTGTATGTTATCAAGTATTGATATACAGTCCACAGAATTGTCACACATGTTAGGTGGGTTGATGTAATCGTATCCCTAAGAATATGGAGTGAGATTGTCCAGCCTAGAGAGGGAGAAATTATGCACTTTCTTTTGGCCTGGAGTCAGTGCTGACTGGGGTGCTGACAAGTGTGCTTATCAGAGTGTATAGCTGTGTGGCTGGTCAAGAACCAGTTTTGTGATTATAAATTAATTGTCAGGTGCCTGAATTTTGCTCGCTTGTTTGAGAAATTAAAGTTCAAATTGTGTTGTTATGTTGTAAAGGAACTGTGTACTGTTTTTAGACTGTGTAAATGGGAACATTTTACATCACAGTATTTTTTTAAGAAATGGAATTTTTCTAGGGATAGAGTATAATAATCAAGGCATATACAAAGTTTTTTTTTATTCTGCACTATACTGAATATTTTAAAATATTATATTAATATATTGTATTATTAATAATGATAAATTTTTGGCTTTCTTAAATAAGCAGTAATTTTTAAAAATATAGATCACTAACAGGTTACAAAGAAATGCAATATGAAAACTGTGGCTGAAATTTAGGTAATTGGAAACGTTAATAATATAATTACAATATTTATTTTAAGTGAATATTTGAGTTTATTTTTGAGGAATATTTCTTACTAGGCAAATATAATTGGTATTTTGCAGTGAGGTCTGAAATATAATGAAGTTGTTACAAAAATTATTTTGTTAGTAAACATTAAGAGGTGCATGATGAGGATAGGATACATATCTAAATATTTATTATGAAAATTAAAAGGAAAAAAATTGTAGTTTTAAATGAATTATTATTAATTTGATAATTGAAGACATAAATGGATGAAGATGCTATACCAAAAATTATTCAAAATTCAATTGACGTTCATAGATTAAAGATGTAATGTAATCATCTCTCACATGTCACCATCAAGGAGAAAATAAATGACCTGTACTGTGACACTATTTTTTGGATATAGTTATGTCGAAAAATTACATAATAAAAACTTAACATCAATTTATTTAAAACTTTGATTTTGTAACATCATCATCATCCACTCATGTCTTCAATTATTAATTTATGATTAACAAGTTATATTATTAAAAACAAATATTAAGAAAAATATTAATAAATGTATAAATTTATTCTTAATGAAAATAAAGGGAAAATATGAATAAGTTTAAAGATGTAATTTTTATTCAGAATATATTTTTATTTATTTATGTAACTAAAATTTTGCATGTTCATTTATGTTAAAATTTTCTCTTGATTAATGGTCTACCATTTTAATTACATTAATCTTTTTAATATATAAAAATAATCAATCTAATTTACCTTTCTTTTTTTGGAAGGGGTGTTAATATGGAGTTTTCGGCACAATTAGACACTGTACTCTAAATAACTTTGTTTTGATCACTAGGCGACCAAAGAGCCAGCCTTATAGAATGGCCAATACACACGCAGGGGAAATAATGCCTTCTGGGAGTACTTTTATGGGAAACTGGCCTCTATTCAGGCATCATCAATGTGGAGAAAACTTGGGAAACTCCATGCTGTCTAGTTTCTGAACACTGTGAGCACTGTGCAAACCCATGCCCGAACTCCCAGTGTTCAGAGACTAGTCCACTCAAACTGTGGGGAGGAAGTTTGCTCGGCCACTAGTGGGCCAATTTACCTTAATTTAATACTCTTTACCTTTTATTTTCTTATTAGAATACAATTTTTTGTTGTTGTTTATTTTTAATTCATTCTATTTAGTTTGAATATTTTAAAGTTAATACATTTTTAAATAAATGGATTGTTCTTATTTTATGAAATGACATCTTTGTTATACTACTATATACAGTGTGTAAAGTATATACTTACATAAATACATGTATGACTGATATATTATTATTTGTTTTCTATATTAATATGATTTTTTAAAAACCATTATTTTCAGATTACATTACGTGATCCAAATTCTTTGTCTGTAGAACATACACTAGATGCACATTCTGGGATGCTATCTGATTTTGATGTACATGGTAATCTTCTTGTAACATGTGGTTTTTCTAGCAGGTAATTTTGTTTTAAATTATATTCAGTATTTAGCTTGTTTATATGAAATTCTATTTTTAAAAATTTATTAAATTATAATTATCCAAATATTTTTTATAATTTGACACTATACTGCATGAAAAATTTATTTTTATAAAAAAAAACAGTTATTATTTATTTTGTAATAAAAGTAATTCTTTATATTTTTATTAATATGACATTGTTTTATTATCTTAAATAATTCTACATTTTAGTAATTTATAAATTTACATTTTTATTATAGACATGGTAATTTGACTGTTGATCGATTTTTAATGGTTTATGATTTAAGAGTTATGCGTAGTATGACACCTATTCAACTTATGTTTCCTCCATTACTTTTACGATTTGTTCCTGCTTTCACATCTCGTATTTGTGTTGTTTCTCAGGTAATTAAGAACTATTTAGCAAAGAGTTTCTCTTGATAAAGATGAATGTTTATATTAAAAATTTATTTCATTTAGAGTGGACAGTTTCAATTATTGGACACAGGTAATAATAATCAGTCTCCTTACATACATCATGTAGAAAATGGATGTGAAGCCATCCTCACATTTGATACTTCATCATCTGGTCAAGCTCTTGCCCTTGGTGATGCTGCTGGTATTTATTCATTCACTTTTATATAAAAACAAAATCTGTGTCAAATACTTATTTATTTTAATTATATTAATTAATTAATTAGGCTATATCCATTTTTATGGAGCTAGTAATGAAGTGAACTTCAATGCTTATAGTCGACCCACTGAATTTCCTGATTCGGTAAGAATATTCAAGTTCTTTCTTCATGTTAATTAATTGTTTGTAATTGTAAAATATATGGTTTTCTATTAGCTTTGAATTCTTTTTAATAAATTCAAATTTATTTTATTTGATATGTTTAAATTTAACATATTAGTTTTACTAATAAAAACCAAGCAAAAATTAGTTTCTTTGTTTTTAGTGATTTGATTATAAGAACTACCTGAATTATTACTTGAAATATTTCAGAGATTTCTTATTTTTACTTTCCTGGCTGTTATATATAACAGGGAAAGTATGGAGATTGGTCAAAAAATGACCTCCCAAGATTTTTACATTTTTGGATTCAGGACACCTTGAAATGTCAAGAAATGCAAAAAAAAAAAAAGAAAAATATTTGGGTAATTTCTGTATGTGGGGGGGTTACATGATTTTGTTCACCCAGTTTCAAGCTTAATAACTCCTGTGCTTTTTGTCAAAAATTTCTGAAATTTTTCAGGGATGTTTGTTTATTAGGGGAATTGATGCTACTAAATTTTGATGGTTAAAGATTGAGGGGTGGGGAGATAATGGGGGTCATGTGTATCTCTAGTAGGGTCAGACTTAATAAAGATTTTACTCATTATTAGCATTTACAATTTTTTATAAAACACATCTCTATTCTCAAAATTAAGCTTTTTGCCATTTTATAATAATTAAAAATATAAACATTTTATAATAATGAAATATAACAGATGGTGCCATATACACAGTTTTAAATGTTTTCAGAAAAGTTGAGCAACTTGTTGGATTTTTTAAATTAAGTTTTCTGGAATGATTAAATTTTTTTGAATATTAAAAAAATTAGAAAAACTAGATTATTTAATCAATATTAAAATTAATTAAATGTACATTGTATTATTGTAAATTTGAACATTTTATACAGTTTTTTTCTTTTTTACTCAATGAAATTACTTTGTCTTGTCATTAATTGAAAAATAACTATATTTTTTATTCATTTGGCTTTTAAACTCAAAATAAATGCATAAATATCTATTTAATATAAAATTATTTCTATTTATGTATATTGCATTCAAAAAATTTATAAATTATACATTTTAGAGTACAAATTGTAACTAACTTCATATAGTTAATACTATACACAAACACTACAGAAGTGATTTGTATTGATTAAAATTAATTAGTATGATATTGTTACTTATTCTTAAATATTTAAATTTAAATAATTTTAGTACCATATATATACACTATATGTATTTATTGTAATTTATAAATTTTTTTTTTAAATAAGAAAAATTTTATTGTTTTATGACTGTCACTAATACATTTTGTACAAATTTATAAATGATTTTAATTTGAAAATCTACAATTTTATGAATTTACAAACAAAAATTTATACAAAGAAATATGTAATTTTCAATGATGCATTTTAAATTTATTAGTGAATTAAATAATAAATATCAAAGATTAGTCATGTTTGCAAATCTTGTGAAATGATTTGTAGTGATTAAATATTAAAAATATGGTTTCATGAAATTTGATTAGAATGTGAGACAAAAGAGAAACCTAGATAATATACTAAAATTTACTCTAAAAATTGACATCAAAGATACTCATGAATATTAAATTAATAATAATAGATTTATAAACAATAAATATTTTAAAAATTTTTAGGTTGAACCACATCCACCTATTGATATAAATGATGAAGTGACTCCATTGTCTACCATTCCAATGCCTCATTGTACAGGAAAATTGCTCTCAGATTGGCCAGAAGAATTTATGAAAGTTCATTACAGGTTTGTTTTAAATTATTTTCTTCATTTTAAAATGTAAATTTTGTATTTAGGATAACAACTGATATAAATTATTTATTAGAAGTTTTTTTATTATAGCAGATATACTTTAAGAAATTTGTAAGGAATATTTGATATTAAAGTTGTTAGTTATAGAACTTTTTCTGTAAATATTTTATAAATTAGAGAACCATAACAACAATTATCTTTTCTTCTGATGGGATTCCTAAGTTTATCCTAGAACCAATTAACTGTATTCAAATATACATTTTGTAAATGAAAGACTATTAATAAATGAGTTGCATTCTAACTGTAAACTGCAGTACATAAATCATTATAGTTTTAGTTTATTTTTGCTTAAATGGCTCTGGTTTTGATTAAGATTAATGCTTTGTATGTTATTTTTTTAAATACCATTTTTGCATATGTTACACTTTGTATATTATTTATTTAATTTTTTAACAAAATCATTTATTATTTATTAGAATGAGTTAATTTGTCATTAGAAATAAAATTAATTATAAAATATAGATTGATCTCACTAGACTTCTATAATTTAAAATATAGAATAATAGAATATAAAATATAAAATATAGAAGATCTATATCTTATATTGAATATATGAATATATTAATTTTGATTAAAATCAACATATTTAGTGATTAAATTAAATATATTAAAATCTGAAGTATGAAAAGAATAAATAAAAATTTTTGTTTCTCAAATATTTTATTTTTATTTTATCAGATAAATGTATAACATTGCTTTTTTAATAGCTTTTATGACAGATATTTTTTGAACTCGTATGTATTTATATATGTTATGAATTTTTCTATGAAGATTTCATATGATAATTTAAAATGCTTATTAATAATAAGGAACATATCATATACAGAAATCCTTGTTTAAAATTTGTTTTTTTGTTTTAACCTAAAATTGTTATATATTTCTACTTTTATAATTGGTTCTTTACAAGTTTAGACTGGAATTTCATGTTAAAAATTAAGTAAATTAAAGAATTAAGTAGATCTTGAGATGGTTTTGAACTATAACAGAATTTGTCAAACTCACCATTTTTAGTTGATCAGACAACATTAATAATTAACTATAACAATAACAAAATAATGGATTTTAAGATAAATAATCATAGCTCTCTCTTCCTCTCTATGTATATGTATGTATGTACGTAAGTTTTATTTATTACATTTCATTTCAAACAGTTTACTTAAATTATTGTATACAGTAATTTAAAAATACATTACTGGAAACATCTGGAAACCTGATAATTATTTCAGTTTATGTCTAATTTATTTTTCTATTAAAAGCAAACTTTATTTATATTAAGAATTATTATTTTGTGTTTACTTATATCATGTTTGGATTTTAAGAAATTTGTGATTTTTTTTTATTTTTAGGAAAAAACATAATGTTAAATAAGTTAAAAAAGTCCAAAATCAACTGAGATTAAATGCTTTTTTGAGACCAAATATCTTATTAGATCAAATGTACTTTTTAAAAATAACAAACTTAAATTAATTTGAAGAAAGAATACTTTTTAACATTTTGTGTTAGATTTCAAATACAGTTTTTAAGAATTTAGAACAAAAAATACAGCAAAGAAAGGATTTCAACATACAAATTTTATTATTCATATTTCAGGCTGCATATATAAAAAGTCAAGAACTTCAACAGGTTCTCAATAGCAGAGGAATACTGAACCCTGCCTGAACTTTGTAAAAGTATCTATAATAATAGATTTCAGTTTGGCATAATCATTTTGGCATAAAGTGATTAAAGTTATCATGAATGTAGCCAGCTCTTTTAGATATCCATTTAATTTAGTTTGGAACATTTTGTGAAAGATATAAGCAAGATATCAACTGATGATTAAAAATATATATCAAATTATCAAGTAACAAGAATTGATGGAGCAAACTTAATCCATATGTTAAAAGAACTAAAGCAGACAGTATTGCATTAATAGTAAGGTTAAACCTGTTAATTTAGAGTTCTGGTTATATATGACTTATTCAGAAATAGAAACAATCTAAATAAAAAAAAAACAAAGAAGTTACATTTATAAAATTTCTGTTGACATCATAGAATGAATAAATCATGCAATTTATTGGAAATGTGGTCTGCATCTTTAGTAGGAGAATAAAGGAATATAGATTGATGATCAAAACAGAGAAGATTGATACAGCAATAAAAGAAAAATGCATGAATGTGGATTATATAATTATATGCTTATAGTACTGAGATCTGAAAATATTTTTGGAATAAAAGTAATTACATTAAATTTTTTATTCATATAACATTCTTTGTTCTTAGAGGTTTCATGTAATGATAAAATTTCATTATGCTTAATTTTTTGTTTGTTTTTAGCTTTTTAACTTTATTTATTATATTCTGTTTTAAATTCTTAAAAAAATGTATTTAGAAATCTGATCCAAAATGTTAAAAATATTCTTCATTTAAATCAGTATGTTTGTTACTTTAAAATGTTTTAAAGAATGTTTTATCTAATGATGAGACATTTAGTTTTTAAAAATATTTAATTTCAGTTCATTTTTAACTTCTCTAATATATTTAACATTATGTTATTGTCCTGATGATAACTGTGGAATAAGTACAGTAATTAGTAAAAATATTTTTTTTCTAATTACTACTATCTTTCTAAATTTATTTTACTTATTTATTTAACTAATTACCTCTCTTGTATCAACTAAATCTTTATATTTCTAAACAAGTGAAAATAAATCACAAGTTTACATTTCTATCAACATGTAAACATATTTTAATGAATATTTTTTCTTTATAATTTCTTGATTACTATATTAATTTGGCTATATTTTGTAACTTCAAACTTAATGCATTTTAATATTGCTTAATGTTATGAAATTTTTTTTTATAGTTAAATTGTTAAATATTTTGTTAGATTTGATATAATTTCTGATTAAATAAGTAATTTGAAATTATATTAAGCTTATAAAATATTGCACACTTTTATTGAATTTTAATGATAAATTTATACTGTTACTTAAAAACTAATTTCTTTTATTCTTTATACTGTACTAGCTTACCCGTCGCGCATTGCTGCGATCTCAGAAGAAAGGAAATTCAAGCAAACTCGTTATGATAAAATTAAATTTACATTTTATCATTTTTATTGAAACTTATTATTATTATTCATTTTCATCGGGAAAACATTTCAAAGTGTCGTTTCATTTCTATTTATTTATTGGAGTACTTGTAGATACTCGATATTTTTTGTTTTTCCGTCTGGTGCACGAATAAATCAGGTTTTCCGACGCGTGAGCGGGCCTCGTACAATTGTCCATGCAATAAGCACGGATTCTCCAAATTTAGCCCATACACTCGCAGCGATTGTCAGAAGTGCAATATTCCCCATTTTTATATATATATTTTTTAATCCTTTATAATTTTAATTATTTAATTGCTCCTTCCTTTCTTCCTTGGCACATTGTGAAATTTCTGAGAGTTGGATAATAAACCGTTTTATCGTAATTTGTCTTTTTAAATTATTTTGAGTTGATATTAAAATTTGGAAAAGGGGATCCTTAGATCGGTAAAATAGGCGAATTTCCTCCTACAACTTCGGTTGTTGTTCGGGATACAGTTAAGATTTTAACAAAGTTAGAGCGAATACGTAATTAGCAAAAAAAATTGAAATAAAGTGATTAAACAAAAATTATTACAAATATCGTAGATAACAGTTCACAAATGCATGTATAGAGATATTTTTTGAAGGGGGGGAAATGGTCTTCGCAATTTGAAATCGATCGAACACACTGTGCATGAATGCTCGTGTAAACGCACACCATCTATCATAGGGTAAATGCCACAAACCTTTGCCGGAGTATATTAAACAACTTCCCAAAGTTTCACGGCAATCGGATAAACGGTGTGGTAATGCATAAAGGACAGACAGACACACACACACACACACACACACATTCATTTTTATATATATAGATTATTTAAGTTAATTTAACTTAGCATTGAAACTCATAAAAAATTATGCAATATTTATGCTTGATCTAATAAAAACTATATATTTTTAACTTACTGTGATGTTAATTTTTATATTAATACCATTTCAACTTTTAAAAAGTAATGAAATTGATTGGTTGATATTCATTAATTTTCTAATCAAATACTATTTTCAGATGTACTCCTGCTATTGATCCCCAAATTCTTGGTACTGTAAGAATGGTAGGACCAATAGGTTATGCTCCAAATCCTGGTATTTTTCTTCGCAATCAAGTGCCTTATCCATTGGATAATAGGGGGCCAGGTGCTCATCGTGACATAGCACGTGAGTCCCCCAGAACCACTGGTCAGTAAGTTATGACAAAACTTCAGCTGCATGCATTTTAGCATTTCATGGTGCATGAGTTATTGTGATGTAAAATATGTGTATGATAGATAATGCATGCAAGCTTTCAGTCATTCAAGAAAAAGAGAAAGAAACAAGATCATAAGAATTATAGAAGATATTTCCATATGATTTTCAGTTTTGTTACAACTTGTTTTGATTCAGTGGATTTTTTATTATTTTATTTTCTTTCCTATTTTATAAGTATTATTTAAAGTTTATCAAATTGATAAAAAAAATTGTAAAATTTTAATTTTTGAAGTACTTTTATTTTGTTTCTTTTATATATATTTTTCAAAAATTTGTTTATTTTTTGTAATCTTCATAAAGTTAATATATTATTAACTTAGTTAATTTTATTAAAAAGTTTCATTTGATAATTTAGAAAAATATTTATAAAAATTTTTGTTTATATTATTATGTGTTTGTAATTAATACAGATAATTCTGAGAAAATATAATTAAATTAATATACTTTAATAAAACAGATTTTTATTTATGATTTTAATTTTTATAGATTCATATATTTATAAATAATAATAATAATAATAATAATAATAATAATGTTTATTGATTTAAATTTAAATTTCTTACAATGGGGACTATTTGATTAAATCATGTTAATAAATGTACATACAATCCATAAAATAAATTAACGGAGAAATTCCAAAGATTTAGAGAAAAAGGAAAAAAACTTAAATAAGGTGATTTTTGACATGACCTCGTTCTTCAAAAAATCACATCTGAACTCGTCTCCTAATATAGCACTTTTTAGTTGATATGTCACCTGACAGGATTCAAACAAATGAGTCAGAAGATTTCCTTCCTCTTTAGCACCACAATAACTACAGCACCCTTCACTGAATATATTTATTCTATAGCCTTTAAACAAAATCCGAAATTTATTTAATCTGAGTTGCATAATGAGACTTTTTGTGAGAAAATTAGTCTCACAATTCAAGTAACTTGCTGTACACCAGACCAAGCGTGATTCAAACAGATTAACTCGTTTAGCTGATATGGAAGACATATCCCAGTTCCACAACTGATCTGACTTAGTTTGAATTAGTGCATTTAAATGGGTTCTCAACAAAGAAGCTGAATGAGATAAAAATAAAAAGGAATAACCCAAGCCATCAAAAATATTTTTAACTGAAGCTGGCCAACTTTTCTTACCAGGTTTAACTGCTGTTAGCAATAGATTATATGTTATTCGACGCAAATCACATGAGGGTAACTCCATGACTTTTGACCAGAACAAAACAATAACCTTCACAAATTTCAGTTCCAAAGGAGGTCTTCCCAATTCAAGACGAACTGCAGAACTTGAAACTGAACGTTCTATTTTAAAAAGTCTCTTAAAATATTTCATCTGTACTTTTTCTATTTTAGACAGAAATTCCAAAACCCAAACAGGGAATAAATAAGACAATCTGGAACCAATAAAAGCATCAAAAAGCCTAAACATACTACTCATAGAGCTTAGCCTCATACGTTTTTGTAGAATAAGAATGTAGCCTGTCTTTTTCTGTATATCTTCAACCATTAAGTTAAAATGATAATTAAATGCACCTGACGAAGAAAAATGCATTCCTAAGTATTTAATATATGTAACAAATTCAATTTCAATATTATTCACAAATATCTTATCAGATTTCAGTAATCTACCTTTATTGCGAAAAACCATTCCCTTCATTTTTTGTAAATTAACTGTGAGGTCATTTCTTTCTGCATAATTAACCAGCAAAGAAAGTTTTCGCTGTAAACCCGTCTTTGAATCTGCCAACAAAATTAAATCATCTGCATACATTAGACAATGCAGGTCGACAAAATCTCCAAGTGCAAAACCTGAAGTTTCTGAAGTAGAAAACAATTGCGATAAAATGTTTATAAATAATATAAACAGCAGAGGACTTAAAGGCTCACCCTGTGGCAAGCCTCCACCAGAAATAACACCCTTAGTAGTTGATGAATTACCGCTCACATGATACCTTGAATTACATAATAAGTTTTTAAGTAGCTTAATAAACGAAGTTGAAAGTACTAATGAATATAACTTTTCCCACAAAATATTAAGATTAATTCTATCAAATGCCTTTTCCAGATCCACAAATATCGAATAAATTTTACGTCTTTTCCTTGACAGAACATACTGTATTAACCTGTTAAGAATGAAGACATTATACATAGTTCCTTTTCCTTGAACAAATGCTCCCTGAAACTGAGAGATAATATTGAATTCCATTATCTATTGACTCAACCGATCTGCCAAAATTCCGGTAAACAGCTTTCTAAAGGTGTTTAGCAATGCAATTGGACGATAATTCTGAGGCTTTAATTTATCCCCTTTCTTGTAGATCATTTTCAACAACACATTTCTCCAATGCTCAGGAAATTTCATTGTTTCCTTAATCTTATTAAATAATGTAAGTAGTTCTAAACACACCTCATCACGTAAGTAAATAATAAATTCATTTTTTATACCGTCCATGCCAGGAGCTGATTTTCTTTTAAGTTTACTGATTGAAGTTTTTAACTCCAATAATGAGATTGGAGCATCCAAAATAGGAGAAGTATTTTCATGATCAAACTCAAGAATTGAATCAGAAATTGGATGACAAAAATCATGCACCAAAAAACATTCCCAGTCTTGAAGAGAAATTTGACTGTCGGGTTTTTTCTTCTTACTAAATCTGTTAACAATAGACCAAAACTGTCTAGAAGATCGTGTATTTTGCAGCTGTCTACTAATATTTGACCAATAATTCTTTTTCTTTATCCTACACAATGATCGAAAGGCAGCCCTATAACCACAATAATCCATCAAATCATCTTTACTACGAGATGTCCGGAACCTCCTCAACATCTTATTCTTCAGTCTCTTCACTATTCTACAATCACTATCAAACCAAACTGAAGACGGCATTTTCATCATTCCTGAATATGATACCATTCTACATTGTTTAGCTGATGTCCTGATCAAATCCAAAATTTCAGAATACCTATCCTCCATTCCATCACTTAGGACGACATTTGCATATCCGAACAAAACTGTTTCAGAATATAAACTGGATCTATCCTCTATCCAAATTAATCGTTTTTTCCTATCAATCAAATTAACTTGTCTATCCTCGTCAATATCAATTAAAATTTCAAAATTTTCCACATGATGATCGGACATGTAGTCATCAGAAACAACAAAATTACATAGACTCCCCACCAAACATTTGTTCAATATCACCAAATCAATTACTGAAGCACCCAATCCAGATGTATAAGTAAAGTCCGCTGGTGAATCAAAAGGATAACGACCATTTATTATATATAAATTATAGGATTTCACCAGATCAATAAGCAAATTCCCTCTTTTATTACAAATTTTGTCATTTGATAGTCGAATGTTCAAAATCACATCATTACCACTAATAGTATCCATAATCAAACCAATTCATGCATTAAAATCACCCATCAACAGAAGATCATAATCTGATATATAATCAGAAATTAAATCGTCCAATCTTGCAATTAATTGTTCAAAAATAGGTATATGAAGATAAACCAATATAATTATCATTTCACGCACTCTCTCACTTTGTCTCCGATTAAATCTCACTTTAATGACCATCATATGTTGCCATGACAAAAGCAAGTTTACTTCTCCCAGGTCACCATTTATACTCAAGAGTAACCCCCCGAAGGTCTACCTCTCCCCATAGTTTTAGTGGCCAGTACCTCAAAAACTTTAAATTTACAGTTAGTACTTTTAACTCTCGAACATAAAGAAACTGTAGACCAAGTCTCGGTCAATCCCAAAATATCAGTTCTAGAAATATGTTCAACAAAATCAATGTCATTCAGATTAGTCAGAAAGGCACCCTGAGAGTTCCATGCTGAAACCTTTAATTCAACTGTACACTTCCTTGAATCGGAGAGGGAACGGTTTGAGAGTCTACCACATGGTTTTCCACTAAAAAATCGAGTTTCAGTAATTCTCCTCTAGCCAAATCATAAGTAAATCTCTCAGAGGCAACCTGTAAAACATCAGCCAACAATCGAACTCGCCTGCCTTCCAACCTATAAGCATGTAGGAATGGCAAAAGCTTTTTCCGTCTCAATCTTGAGCGCCAGCATAAATCATCAAAAATTTGTATATTTTTTAATGCGTCATTAGCTCTTATCTTTCCAAGATCAGCAAAAATCAATTTCTTGTCTGCAAATGATTGCAACTCCACCAAAATTGTATCTGATTGATTAAATTTCACTACTTTAACCATTGGAATAGGTCTTGATTCACCTGTCAATGTATAAAACAGGTTTTGCACATTCCTATTCAAATCAGAACCATCATCAGTCAAACCTTTAATTAATTAAGACATTCTTCTTTCTCATTTCATTCGACACCTTGTCCAAAGAATGCAAAATCAAACTGTTTTCCCGTTGCAAATCATCTTTAAATTTAGAAAACTCTCTAGTTTGACTTCCAACTGAGTTAAACGCCGATCATGATCATTATGTAAATTAGCCAACCAATCTATCTTTGTAACAACCTCATTTAACGTCGAAAAAAGCTTATCAAATCGGTCTTCCAAATAAGAAATAACCTCCCTAGGAATAGACTTACTTGACTCTGACTTTGAAGGGAAGAAATCTTCCAATCTCGCCGTTTTCAATGAAGGTTCACTCGGAGATCAATGTCGTTTTGCTGTGGATGCCGATGATTGAATCTGTGAATGTGGCGGAGTGTGACCAACTGGACTGGGATTTAATTCTATCCCACCCAAAAATAACAACAACTCAAACACCTTAATCCAAAACTCGATATTTTCCATAATTTAGACTTAAAAGAAACACACCTATTTATAAATAATAAATCATAAAAACATCTTTTCTTAAATTTTATGTTCAATACTGTGAATATTATGAAATACATTACACTGTAAAATAAGTAAGGTAATTTTAATACACATCAAAATATAATAATAGTTTTCAAAATACTGAATAAAAAATTTATCTTTTAAATAAATTTTTAACAAATATTCATTTACATTCTGAATCTAAGAAATATTTTAATTTTTATGAATTTTAATTTGGTATGATTTTGATTACAATCACAATAGTTTATATAAAAGTTATCAAAGTTAATAATTATTATTCACAAGAAACTGAATAGATAAGTAAGTGTATGTATGTGAAAATATGCTATATGTATATAGCTATGACCATATACAGTGTATATTATATCATAAATAATTTTATAAGTGAAATAATAATAGAAAACATTTAAAAGAAGGTTCTGATTGTATTTAAAATAAAACATGGGTGTAAATGTAATAAATTAGGCATACATTTAAAGAAGTCAACTATAAAAGTAATAAAAATTGTAAAACTTAAACATATGTTTTGTTTTGAAAACTTATATTATATGTGTTATTTTCCATATTTTTAAGTAGAAATTTTTTTAAAAATTGACTAATTTAAAATAAAATATAATTTAAAAATATGAGCTTGCAAATTTACACTATTTAATTAATTAATTAATTAATTAAGTAACTAATTTAGGAGTTTATCATTAAAAGTTTAATTTCTTCTAACTTAAATTAAAATTCACAAATGAATTATTGATAACATTAATGCTAATTGAAAAGAATCATTCATACAAATTTTGATTATAATTTGAGGTTTGACTTATTCTTGTAACTTAGTTATAAATTAGTAATAAAGGAGATACACTAAGTTAAAATATATACGTAGTATGATCCAAAAGTTTGGGGACTTGGCTTAAAATTCCTTACCTTAAAAAGTTTATATTGCCGATGCATAACCACCTTTAAAGTAATCACCTTGGGCAATGATACACTTTTGCCAGCGCTCATATAACTTCTGGAAGCACTGCTGGAAGCCATTTTTTGAAACCTCCCGTAAGGCCTCCTGCGATGCTGCTCTCACCTCATCTGATGACACAAAACGGCGTCCCTGCAAATGCTTTTTCATTGATGGAAACAAATAAAAATCACACGGGGCTAAGTCCGGTGAATAGGCGGGGTGTGGAAGCACATTAATTTGAGTTTTGATGAGAAACTGTGTGACCATTTGGAACCAATGTACAGATGTGTTGTCATGCAGAAGGTACCAACCAGTCTCCACTTTGCCAGATCTGTGGCCATTTACTACGAATGAATTCCCTCAAATGACATAAAATGTCTAGATAATGCTGCTTGTTTACTGTTCTGCCTTTGGGAATAAATTCTGAATGAACAATTCCTTGAGAATCAAAAAACACCTTCATCATGACTTTTCCTTTGCTCAGTGCATGTTAAGATCTTCTGTTAAAATACGCTGGCAACTAGTTTTTGATAAGTGAGTAGCCACAGTGATTTTTTCAAGGGTTTGGCGACGATCTTTGCGAACACATTGAGAGACCAACTCAACATTTTCCTCGTTCTGTGAAGTTGCTTATTGCAATAACATGATACAAGTATGTTAATATATCTTAAAATTTAATAAATGAATAATTATGAATAAAAATATAATATTTATATTTGTATGGTAAAATCACCGTACACCTTTCTTAGCAATTTTAAAGTCTCCATAGGTGTTTTACCTAAACGCTGACAAAATTTAATGTTACAGCACTGTTCTTGAAACTTCATTTTTATTATGTCGCAAAACAAAGGTAACTATCTCCAAAAGAAAACAACAGCGTTTGCGGTTTAATCACATGACATGGACAAAACCAACCTGAACACGTAGGAAAGGTTTGATAGAATCAATTTCATACACTGTAACTTCAAATACTTGCTTTTGTTGTCAAACATTACTGCAGTCCCTGAACTTTTGGTTNTCGTTATGATAAAATTAAATTTACATTTTATCATTTTTATTGAAACTTATTATTATTATTCATTTTCATCGGGAAAACATTTCAAAGTGTCGTTTCATTTCTATTTATTTATTGGAGTACTTGTAGATACTCGATATTTTTTGTTTTTCCGTCTGGTGCACGAATAAATCAGGTTTTCCGACGCGTGAGCGGGCCTCGTACAATTGTCCATGCAATAAGCACGGATTCTCCAAATTTAGCCCATACACTCGCAGCGATTGTCAGAAGTGCAATATTCCCCATTTTTATATATATAGATTATTTAAGTTAATTTAACTTAGCATTGAAACTCATAAAAAATTATGCAATATTTATGCTTGATCTAATAAAAACTATATATTTTTAACTTACTGTGATGTTAATTTTTATATTAATACCATTTCAACTTTTAAAAAGTAATGAAATTGATTGGTTGATATTCATTAATTTTCTAATCAAATACTATTTTCAGATGTACTCCTGCTATTGATCCCCAAATTCTTGGTACTGTAAGAATGGTAGGACCAATAGGTTATGCTCCAAATCCTGGTATTTTTCTTCGCAATCAAGTGCCTTATCCATTGGATAATAGGGGGCCAGGTGCTCATCGTGACATAGCACGTGAGTCCCCCAGAACCACTGGTCAGTAAGTTATGACAAAACTTCAGCTGCATGCATTTTAGCATTTCATGGTGCATGAGTTATTGTGATGTAAAATATGTGTATGATAGATAATGCATGCAAGCTTTCAGTCATTCAAGAAAAAGAGAAAGAAACAAGATCATAAGAATTATAGAAGATATTTCCATATGATTTTCAGTTTTGTTACAACTTGTTTTGATTCAGTGGATTTTTTATTATTTTATTTTCTTTCCTATTTTATAAGTATTATTTAAAGTTTATCAAATTGATAAAAAAAATTGTAAAATTTTAATTTTTGAAGTACTTTTATTTTGTTTCTTTTATATATATTTTTCAAAAATTTGTTTATTTTTTGTAATCTTCATAAAGTTAATATATTATTAACTTAGTTAATTTTATTAAAAAGTTTCATTTGATAATTTAGAAAAATATTTATAAAAATTTTTGTTTATATTATTATGTGTTTGTAATTAATACAGATAATTCTGAGAAAATATAATTAAATTAATATACTTTAATAAAACAGATTTTTATTTATGATTTTAATTTTTATAGATTCATATATTTATAAATAATAATAATAATAATAATAATAATAATAATGTTTATTGATTTAAATTTAAATTTCTTACAATGGGGACATTTAATTGAATAATGTTAATAATATACATACAATCCATGTTAATAAATTATCGGAGAAATTCCAAAGATTTAGAGAAAAAGGAAAAAATCTTAAATAAGGTAATTTTTGACATAACCTCCTTCTTCAAAAAATCATATCTGAACTCCGCTCCTAATACAGCACTTTTTAGTTGATATGTCACTTGACAGGATTCAAACAAATGAGTCAGAAGATTTTCTTCCACTTTAACACCACAAAAACTACAGCACCCTTCACTGAATATATTTATCCGATAGCCTTTAAACAAAATTCGAAATTTATTTAATCTGAGTTGCATAATGAGGCTTTTTGTGGGAAAATTAGTCTCACAATTCAAGTAATTTGCTGTACACCAGACCAAGCGTGATTCAAACAAGTTACCTCTTTTAGCTGTTATAGAAGACATATCCTGACTCCACAACTGATCAGACCTAGTTTGAATTAATGCATTTAGATGGGTTCTCAACAAAGAAACTGAACGGGTCAAATACAGAAAAGAATAACCCAAGCCATCAAATATATTTTTAACTGAAGCTGGCCAACTTTTCTTACCAGGCTTAACTGCTGTTAACAATAGATCATATATTATTCGACACAAATCACATGAGTGTAACTCCATGACTTTTGACCAGAACAAAACAATAACCTTCACAAATTTCAGTTCTAAAGGAGGTCTTTCCAATTCAAGACGAACTGCAGAACTTGAAACTGAACGTTCTATTTTAAAAAGTCTCTTAAAATATTTCATCTGTACTTTTTCTATTTTAGACAGAAATTCCAAAACCCAAACAGGGAATAAATAAGACAATCTGGAACCAATAAAAGCATCAAAAAGCCTAAACATACTACTCATAGAGCTTAGCCTCATACGTTTTTGTAGAATAAGAATGTAGCCTGTCTTTTTCTGTATATCTTCAACCATTAAGTTAAAATGATAATTAAATGCACCTGACGAAGAAAAATGCATTCCTAAGTATTTAATATATGTAACAAATTCAATTTCAATATTATTCACAAATATCTTATCAGATTTCAGTAATCTACCTTTATTGCGAAAAACCATTCCCTTCATTTTTTGTAAATTAACTGTGAGGTCATTTCTTTCTGCATAATTAACCAGCAAAGAAAGTTTTCGCTGTAAACCCGTCTTTGAATCTGCCAACAAAATTAAATCATCTGCATACATTAGACAATGCAGGTCGACAAAATCTCCAAGTGCAAAACCTGAAGTTTCTGAAGTAGAAAACAATTGCGATAAAATGTTTATAAATAATATAAACAGCAGAGGACTTAAAGGCTCACCCTGTGGCAAGCCTCCACCAGAAATAACACCCTTAGTAGTTGATGAATTACCGCTCACATGATACCTTGAATTACATAATAAGTTTTTAAGTAGCTTAATAAACGAAGTTGAAAGTACTAATGAATATAACTTTTCCCACAAAATATTAAGATTAATTCTATCAAATGCCTTTTCCAGATCCACAAATATCGAATAAATTTTACGTCTTTTCCTTGACAGAACATACTGTATTAACCTGTTAAGAATGAAGACATTATACATAGTTCCTTTTCCTTGAACAAATGCTCCCTGAAACTGAGAGATAATATTGAATTCCATTATCTATTGACTCAACCGATCTGCCAAAATTCCGGTAAACAGCTTTCTAAAGGTGTTTAGCAATGCAATTGGACGATAATTCTGAGGCTTTAATTTATCCCCTTTCTTGTAGATCATTTTCAACAACACATTTCTCCAATGCTCAGGAAATTTCATTGTTTCCTTAATCTTATTAAATAATGTAAGTAGTTCTAAACACACCTCATCACGTAAGTAAATAATAAATTCATTTTTTATACCGTCCATGCCAGGAGCTGATTTTCTTTTAAGTTTACTGATTGAAGTTTTTAACTCCAATAATGAGATTGGAGCATCCAAAATAGGAGAAGTATTTTCATGATCAAACTCAAGAATTGAATCAGAAATTGGATGACAAAAATCATGCACCAAAAAACATTCCCAGTCTTGAAGAGAAATTTGACTGTCGGGTTTTTTCTTCTTACTAAATCTGTTAACAATAGACCAAAACTGTCTAGAAGATCGTGTATTTTGCAGCTGTCTACTAATATTTGACCAATAATTCTTTTTCTTTATCCTACACAATGATCGAAAGGCAGCCCTATAACCACAATAATCCATCAAATCATCTTTACTACGAGATGTCCGGAACCTCCTCAACATCTTATTCTTCAGTCTCTTCACTGTTCTACAATCACTATCAAACCAAACTGAAGACGGCATTTTCATCATTCCTGAATATGATACCATTCTACATTGTTTAGCTGATGTCCTGATCAAATCCAAAATTTCAGAATACCTATCCTCCATTCCATCACTTAGGACGACATTTGCATATCCGAACAAAACTGTTTCAGAATATAAACTGGATCTATCCTCTATCCAAATTAATCGTTTTTTCCTATCAATCAAATTAACTTGTCTATCCTCGTCAATATCAATTAAAATTTCAAAATTTTCCACATGATGATCGGACATGTAGTCATCAGAAACAACAAAATTACATAGACTCCCCACCAAACATTTGTTCAATATCACCAAATCAATTACTGAAGCACCCAATCCAGATGTATAAGTAAAGTCCGCTGGTGAATCAAAAGGATAACGACCATTTATTATATATAAATTATAGGATTTCACCAGATCAATAAGCAAATTCCCTCTTTTATTACAAATTTTGTCATTTGATAGTCGAATGTTCAAAATCACATCATTACCACTAATAGTATCCATAATCAAACCAATTCATGCATTAAAATCACCCATCAACAGAAGATCATAATCTGATATATAATCAGAAATTAAATCGTCCAATCTTGCAATTAATTGTTCAAAAATAGGTATATGAAGATAAACCAATATAATTATCATTTCACGCACTCTCTCACTTTGTCTCCGATTAAATCTCACTTTAATGACCATCATATGTTGCCATGACAAAAGCAAGTTTACTTCTCCCAGGTCACCATTTATACTCAAGAGTAACCCCCCGAAGGTCTACCTCTCCCCATAGTTTTAGTGGCCAGTACCTCAAAAACTTTAAATTTACAGTTAGTACTTTTAACTCTCGAACATAAAGAAACTGTAGACCAAGTCTCGGTCAATCCCAAAATATCAGTTCTAGAAATATGTTCAACAAAATCAATGTCATTCAGATTAGTCAGAAAGGCACCCTGAGAGTTCCATGCTGAAACCTTTAATTCAACTGTACACTTCCTTGAATCGGAGAGGGAACGGTTTGAGAGTCTACCACATGGTTTTCCACTAAAAAATCGAGTTTCAGTAATTCTCCTCTAGCCAAATCATAAGTAAATCTCTCAGAGGCAACCTGTAAAACATCAGCCAACAATCAAACTCGCCTGCCTTCCAACCTATAAGCATGTAGGAATGGCAAAAGCTTTTTCCGTCTCAATCTTGAGCGCCAGCATAAATCATCAAAAATTTGTATATTTTTTAATGCGTCATTAGCTCTTATCTTTCCAAGATCAGCAAAAATCAATTTCTTGTCTGCAAATGATTGCAACTCCACCAAAATTGTATCTGATTGATTAAATTTCACTACTTTAACCATTGGAATAGGTCTTGATTCACCTGTCAATGTATAAAACAGGTTTTGCACATTCCTATTCAAATCAGAACCATCATCAGTCAAACCTTTAATTAATTAAGACATTCTTCTTTCTCATTTCATTCGACACCTTGTCCAAAGAATGCAAAATCAAACTGTTTTCCCGTTGCAAATCATCTTTAAATTTAGAAAACTCTCTAGTTTGACTTCCAACTGAGTTAAACGCCGATCATGATCATTATGTAAATTAGCCAACCAATCTATCTTTGTAACAACCTCATTTAACGTCGAAAAAAGCTTATCAAATCGGTCATCCAAATAAGAAATAACCTCCCTAGGAATAGACTTACTTGACTCTGACTTTGAAGGGAAGAAATCTTCCAATCTCGCCGTTTTCAATGAAGGTTCACTCGGAGATCAATGTCGTTTTGCTGTGGATGCCGATGATTGAATCTGTGAATGTGGCGGAGTGTGACCAACTGGACTGGGATTTAATTCTATCCCACCCAAAAATAACAACAACTCAAACACCTTAATCCAAAACTCGATATTTTCCATAATTTAGACTTAAAAGAAACACACCTATTTATAAATAATAAATCATAAAAACATCTTTTCTTAAATTTTATGTTCAATACTGTGAATATTATGAAATACATTACACTGTAAAATAAGTAAGGTAATTTTAATAC